CTATATTGTGTTAAGGTTCTTTCAGAAAAGTTTCAGATTTGGTATTTTTCCTCAAATATAACAGCTGAGAGTATATACTATTGGTCTGTGTGGTTGAACATATGTAATTAACTAATTTTGAGACAGGATCTCACTGTGTAGCACTGGCTATCCTGGAACTCACAGAGATCTCTTGCCCCTGATTCCCAAGTGCTGAGATTCAAGGTATGTGCCATTGTGCCTGACTAAATATATGTAATCTCCCCTGACCCCCTTTGGTTTTTCAAGACAGGGTTTCTCTGTAGCTTTGGAGCCTTCCTGGAACTCACTCTGTAGACTAGGCTGGCCTCGAACTCAGAGGTCTGCCTGTTTCTGCCTCCCAAGTGCTGGAATTAAAGGTGTGCACCGCCACCCCCCACCCCCGCTAATATATGTAATTTATACTGCAGTGGATTTGTCTTAAAGCCGAAGGGAGAAACTAAAGAGTTGGCTCAGTCAGTAATAATACTTATTGCACAAGGACTTTCTGACTAAGCCATTCCATCTGAATTAGTGCACTCTAGGGTCAGTGAGAGATCTTGTCTTTTTCTTAAAAATAAAAAAAAAACATGTTTTAAAAGATTTTTAAAATTTTTAAAAATACATGTGTTTTGCCTGCATGTATCATGCAGTGCCCTCAGAGGCCAAAAGAGGGCTCCACATCTCTTGGAACTAGAGCTAAGGACAGTTGTAAACTGCCGTGTGGGTGCTGAGAATGGAACTGGTGTCCTCTACAAAAGAAGCAAGTGCTCTTACCCTCTGAGCCATCTCTCTAGCCCCCTGAAAGGAGTTAACTCTTAAAATATCACCAACTTTTTATTCATGTAGTAAATTTGAGTCCTTTTCAGGAAGGAACATTCTTCAGCCCAGAGCAGAAAACCTCTCTTCCTACTGGGATTCTTTCAAAATAGTGTCAACAGTTGGAGAGAAATGGCAAACCTACACAGTCTGATTTAGAGAAGGTTGTCTGACTTGTGCTTGGGTGTCCCTGAATCTGAGGACGGTGGACACCCCCCCCCCCCCCCAGCCCGGCTGCCCATCAGGCTCCTGTTGAGCTGCTAAACCAGTCTGGTTGCATTCATTCATCATTGTGGAGTAGGTGTGGACTCAGCTGTGTTTTCTCACCTTTACTCAAGAGTCCAGGAAGGCCCTGCTACAGCAGTGTGGGGAGTGTGGTTGCCAAAGGGGAGACTGCTTCAACCTTTGTCCTACCCTCTCCAAAGAATGAACTTTCTTGACCCCATTCCAACTTGGTGGTTGTGGGCCTTCCTTCCTAAGGCATTCCCTCTGGTGGCTTGGGAAGCAGAATAAACCAGCAAGAGCTCTCTGGGAAGTCTGTTTTCACTGCCTGCTAATGGAGTAATGCAGAGGAACCTGAAAAGCAGGTTTGGCTTGTATGTGGGATTGTAGAGGGAAGGTGACAGCACCTTGACTGGGCATCATGCAGTCAGGGCCTGTGCCCAGCCCCTGGTGGTGATTATTAGTCCATGTAGCTACTGGGCTTTTCTCTCAGTGGAGGCGTTCTTGGGTTTGAGTCTGTTCTAAAAGCAGTAGATGTAGTGCCACGAGGACACTAAGAATGCCAATGCAGAAGTGCTGATTACACAGAAGTGCCTGTGTGAGCAGGGGTATCTACATGCTTGTTTGCAGAGTGTTTTAAGTCTGGAGCTCATCTCATCATTTAATTCTATGACTGCTTTTCATTTTGGTGATTCTTGTTAAAAAGAAAGAAGGAGCCAGGCGGTGGTGGCACACGCCTTTAATCCCAGCACTTGGGAGGCAGAGCCAGGCAGATCTCTGAATTTGAGGCCAGCCTGGTCGACAGAGTGAGATTCAGGACAGGCACCAAAACTACGTAGAGAAACCCTGTCTCGGAAAAAAAAAAAGGAAAATGATCGCTGTGGTTTTCATAGCCCTTCTGTAGAGAAGGCAGGTTAGCCCAGCACACTCAGCTGTAGGCCATGCCCAATTACATTCAAGAATGCATCACTGGATCGCCATTAGTCATGGACAGTGAGGCAGTCATGCAGCTATGCAGTCAAACTTGGCTGAGATCCCCACCACTGGACAGTTATTTAGGGTGTCTGCCTGCTACTGTAGGGACCTGTTAGGGTGCAGGTACCCCTTCTCCTCTGTGCTCTTGTGGTTTTTGCTGTTGTTGTTGGTTTGGGGAGGTACTTTCCTTTTTGAGACAGGGTCTCATGTAGTTCAGATTAGCCTTGACTAGCCCACTATTTATTACCAAGGATTGATTATTCTTGAACTCGCTTCAACCTTACAAATGCTGGGATCATAGGTGAGCACTACCACATATAGCAGGTACTGTTGGTTTCTACACATTACCTGAGCATAAAGAGCTGTCTTACACCCCCTCTGCCTCACCAGCCTTCCATGTATACCCTGCTTACCACTGTTTCTCCATTGATAACCACTTGTGATTTGGAAGGAAGGTGGAATTTTTTGTAGTTGTTGCTTGAGATGGGGTTTCTCTGTATAACAGCCCTGCCTGGCTGTCCTGGAACTCACCTTGTAGACCAGGCTAGCTTCAGACTCACAGAGATCTGCCTGTCTCAGCTGGGATTAGAGGCATGCGCCACCACCATCTGGCTAGAACGTGGAATTTTTTGCATGGACAACTGATTGCTGATCAGATATCCATCTGCTTCTGTTGGACTTTTTTGCTTAAAGTAAATTATGTGTTGCTCTTTGGATTTTTGCCTGTACTTTTTCACTCTCCCAATTCCCCACATCACCAAAACTCAAACAGCTAAGTGGTGTGTCCCTGCTCTATGGCAACTAGTGAGTCCCTTCTTAATTCATCTTGGACTCACTTCCTTTTGCCTGGTTTGGATCCTCAAAGGATGACTTGCCATGTTGAAATTAGTTGTTCTTCCCTATCTGTAATTGGTAGGAGTTAAAGGTTGAGAGCCATAATCTCAGAATTTTAAAGAGTATTGCCTGAGAGTCTTCCTCCCACCAGCACTGCGTTGTCACTGTTTTGGCAGCAGGCCTCAGCTCTTAAGGCATGTGCTCCTCCTGCCTAGCTAAGAGTCTCCTCTCTGTAGTTTTGTCAGTCTGTCCTGTCCACCTGTCTTTTCTTTCTTTTCTTCTCACTTCTTTCCACCCACCACCACCCCTTTTGGCCATTGGTTTTGTTTTTTAGTTTTTCTAAAGAAAGGTCTTGCACTAGTTCAGGCTGGCATCAAACTTGAGGAAGTCTGCCAACCTCAGCCTCCCTCATGCTGGGATTACAGGCATGACGCAACATGCCCAGATTTATTTCTTCTTCTTTTTCTTTGATAATCTCAGTATATGTTCCAGCCTCTGCCTCCCAAATATTCGAATTACAGCCATCTTCTTGTGTTTATAGTTTTCTTATTATGCTTTTTGGGAGCCTTCATTTTGAATATACTACTATGGTCTGAATGTATTCCCTAAGTTCATATATAGGAAATTGAACCCAGTGCAATGTTGGGCAGGTGTTTGAGTCTTTTTTTCCTCGAGACAGGGTTTCTCTGTGTAGCTTTATGCCTTTCCTGGATCTTACTCTGTAGACCAGGCTGGCCTCGAACTCACAAAGATCCGCCTGGCTCTGCCTCCCAAGTGCTGGGATGTGCACCACCACCGCCTGTTGGGTGTTTGGGTCTTAAGGTTCCACCCTCAAGAATGGATGAGGGCCATCCTGAGAAGGGCTTTGAAAGTAGGTTCACACTCACTCACCACATGAGATCATGGCATTCCTCTCTGGAGGATACAGCTGAAGGCCAGCCACATCTTAGAGCCAAAAAATCTAACCTAATCAGGCCATGATTTGGGATGTCCAGCTCATCTGTTGTTTTGCCCAGTTTGTGTTCTGTTGTAGTAGCACAGAGGGACAATACGTAGGGAAGCCTTGTCATCCTCTCTCACACCATGCTTGTTCGTTTTCCTGTGAGGTTAGCAGCCTTGTATAGTACACAGGTACATCTCTTTCTGAAGGCTCTATGGCCTTCTATTTGCTTTTATTATTAGGAGTTAACAATCAGCATTTAAGAAAGCAGTAAAATCCATTTGGATGAAAAACAAGTGATGAATAAAAGTGGCCACCAGAGACCAGAGCCCTTAGAAGCCTTACTATCCTTTCTCAAAGCCCCTAACATCTGATACGCTCTGGTAAATTGGTGCCAGCTTAGTTGATTGGCACCTCTAGCATTTCTGTTCTGCCAGTGGGCCCTTCTGAGTGTGTGTACATGCCTTGGAGGAACACATCCTCACATTTACCTGTTATCATAGGAGCATCCTTTTGTGTAGGTTTTCAAGGGAATATGTTGCCATCAGTTTACTCTTTGGGTCTCTACCTTCTCGGGCTGCTTGAGATGGATGGAATATTGCCTTAACAACTGTCTCTCATGACCTGGATGACAGAAATGCCTGGAGAGGTGACACCACAGTTCTTTCTGGGCTTGTCCTGCTGTCACCAGGAGGTGATGGAACATTTGGCCTGTAGTATCGAACCTAGAGTGTGACCAGCTCTCTAGTTGTAATTTGTGGTACTTTGACACTTCGAAGTAAGGATAGAGATGTAAGGTGGTTCTTTCTGATCTTGTAGAGAACTCTGTTAGGCTGTAAGAGGCCTCGTGTCTCTCTCAAAGCACTCTTTTTAGAGAGTAAATATGCCAGCTCCTAAGTGTGAGTGTGCATGGCTGTAGTTAGATATCCAGATAGGTGAATAGACTTGGGAAACAAGGTGGGTTTTTTTTTTTTTTTTTTTGTATCTGTGCCTTCCTTGATTAGTGTGTGGCCTTTAGATGCCTAGTGAGTCTGGTAGACAGGGTTTTCTGCCACCTGGGACCTGGGATTGAATTATCTCTCCTCCCCCATGAGATTTTAGGAGGGATGGGAAAAGGCTTGGGGCTGGGGACTCCTAGGAAGGTGTGTCTCTGACCTGCCACAGGCCCTAAACTGGCAGCACATAACAGGACTGGAACAACTTGCTTCCCCAGGTCTCTGGCCAGTATCGCTTCCACCTGTCCACAAGCATGGGGAATATCTTTGCAAACCTCTTCAAGGGCCTTTTTGGCAAAAAAGAAATGCGCATTCTCATGGTGGGCCTGGATGCTGCAGGGAAGACAACAATTCTATACAAACTGAAGCTGGGTGAAATTGTGACCACCATTCCCACCATTGGTGAGAAGCTGGGCCAGGACCAGGGTGGAGGTTGGGTTTGGTGTTCTGGAGTACAGAGGAAACTCAGCTGTAACCCTGCCCCCAGGTTTCAACGTGGAGACAGTTGAGTACAAGAATATCAGCTTCACTGTGTGGGATGTGGGCGGCCAGGACAAGATCCGGCCGCTGTGGCGCCACTACTTCCAGAACACCCAAGGTGAGGGGCCAATCCTTGTCCTGGATTCCTCTTGTTTGCCCCAGAGGGATGTACTTGCTCACTGAGCCTGATGATGGCCTTGCCAGTTTCAGGGCATAAAGCCACACTAAGCATCATGGCCAGTGGGAGGACTGGATCTAGAGCCTGTGGGTAGATCAGGTGGGGAGTGTTCAGTATGTGCAGTAATGTGGCTGTGTTGCAGGCTTGATCTTCGTGGTGGACAGCAATGACAGAGAACGCGTGAATGAGGCCCGTGAAGAGCTCATGAGGATGCTAGCTGAAGATGAGCTCCGGGATGCCGTTCTCTTGGTGTTTGCCAACAAGCAGGTAGGTACCAGCAAAGTCCTTCCCTGATGGAGAACCTGTGTCAGGGAAGAGAGAGGGTGGGTGAGAGGCTGCCCCGGGTGCCTGGCTGCTGCTGGTCCCTGCCACTAATTCCTCCTTTCCCTCAGGACCTCCCCAATGCCATGAATGCGGCCGAAATCACAGACAAGCTGGGGCTGCACTCTCTACGCCACAGGAACTGGTACATTCAGGCCACCTGTGCCACCAGCGGGGACGGGCTCTATGAAGGACTAGACTGGCTGTCCAATCAGCTCCGGAACCAGAAGTGAACCAGACCCCTCCCTCCCCCTCACTTCCTCTTCTCCGCCCTCCGCTTTCCTCTCATGTGGCAAACGTGCGACTCTGTGGTCCTGAGTGCCAGAAGCTGTCTCCATGGGTTGGTCACAGTGTGCATCGCACCGTGCTGTACATGTGCAGACGCAGCCTGCAGCCAGGTTTTTATTTAATGTAAATAGTTTCTGTTTCCACTGAGGCAGTTTCTGGTACTCCTATGCAATATTACTTAGCTTTTTTATTGTAAAAAGAGAATCAACTCACTGTCAGTACTGAGAAGGGATTTGGGTGTAGGGGCACCTGGCCTCCGGGAGCCATTGGGCTGTAGACTGGTGTCAGTATCCATTTGGTGGTTGGTTTTTAACCCAAACTCAGTGCATTTTTTAAAATAGTTAAAAATACAGGACAAGAACACTTGAACACACAGAACGGAGACTATGCCTAGTGTAGGTTTTGCAGTAATGGCCTGAATGCTAGTCCATCGGATCACCTGTTCCCGTGGGGACAGGAGAGAAGGTGACAAACCACCATCCGCTGCATGGTCACAGTAGAGCCCCCGTGACTCGCCTGTCTTTGGGTCACCTGCATTCCATAGCATTGTGCTTGTACTTGTGCTCACATGGTCACCTAGGGGTGGGCTGGGAGCCATTGTGCGGTGCAGGGCCCGGCTTGTATTTGGTGTGTGGCCGGGCCAGATGGCAGCCTACATACCCAGCTTACTCTTGGGCCCACTTGGACGCGCTGGCAGGAGGCCTGGGTCTCACCAGCAGGAGCGTGTGCAAGCTGGGAGGGTCGATCCATTCCAGACCCACATCCTGGAGCACCCCCATCTCCATGTGTGAAGTAGCTTTCTCCCTCAGCCTGCAAGGGTCCGATTTGCCATCGAAAGACGACCTCTACTTTTTTCTTTTGTATTTTGATAAACACTGAAGAAGCTGGAGCTGTTAAATTTATCTTGGGGAAATCTCAGAACTGGTTTATTTGGTGTCGTGGAACCTCTTACTGCTTTCAATACACAATTAGTAATCAACTGTTTTGTATACTTGTTTTCAGTTTTCATTTCGACAAGCACTGTAATTATAGCTATTAGAATAAAGTCTCTTAACTATTTGATGGGCTTGTGTGTTAGTGTCACCACTGCCAGGCTGCCTCCTAAGAGAGCCCTTTTAATTCAAGAGAAAACAGGTACCCTCCAAGCCCTGGTAGAAGTCGGTGAGACCTGGGTGTCTTGTTGGCTCCCCTCACGTCTCAGGGTCACTACCAGCCTTGGTGCTTTTGTGACAACTGAGGTATGCCTCCTATCCTTTCAGTAGGTGGCCAGCCTTGGGATTGTACATGTCTCTGGGTGGATGTGGCCACTAGGAGATCCAAAGTCCTGAGTGGGCCCCTGCCTAAGTGGACAGACCTTCACTCCCTTGAGGTGGTGTTTTAGATAACTAATCTTCACTCATGCTTAGGTGGCCACCTGAAGGGCACAGGTCAATGTACAAGCCACAGCTTGAGTCTCAGGAAGTATCCCCACCCAGCAGATACTGTTTTACAATCAGAAGAGAACAACTTGCTATATATAGAGAGAGTCTAGCTTGATTTCTACTGTCTGCCCATGCATGCATACAGGCCCTAAAATTGCTATTATTTGTCTGCTGAACCCACTGCTTCTGCCTAGGTAGGAACCAGACTGGACCTCTTGTGCAGACAGCAGGTGCATTCATTCATATCCACAAAAGTGTTCTTCCAACTCCTTGGTCATTTGTATGGTCTTAAGGCAGCCTCAAGGATAGGATTCTGGTCCCTAGACCCTGCCTTCAGGTATACTGGATGGATGCCCCATGCTGGGGCCACAGGATCCCAGCCTAACCTGCCCTCAGTGAGATGATACACTCTACTTTTAAAATACATTTACTTACGTACAAAGTGGGTTGATACAAAAAGTAGAAGTAACCAGATATCCATACACACACACACCCCTAAACCTCAAGGGCCTGTACTGTGGCAGCAGAAACAGGAGTCTGGCCTTAGGCTTCTGGGCAACTATATCTTCCTTGGCATGGGGGCAAGACAAGGGCACTACCTTCACAGAACCACTAGTCTCTGGTCACCTAGGACCCCATTCCTCAGCTGCCTGGAGTGGTTGCCACATAAGTTGCCTCCAAATGGCGAAATAGATCCCAAGGTCCAACAAGCTTGGTTCAGAATCCTACCACCTGCATTATCCCAGACAGGGATGGGAATGGTTAGTTTGAGCAAGTAGGGAGGGGGCTGGTAGTCACTTGGCATCCAGTGACTACTCTTTATAGACCCCACAAAGCTTGGTGGTGGGCAGGGTCTCAGCTCAGGGCAACCAGGGCTTCTGGTGTCCTTTGGTCTAGCCACATTCTCAGTCATCAAAGCCTCTGTCTTGTCGTTTGCGGGATGGGCTCCTTCCACTGTCCTGGCTATGTCCCCGCTTCCTCTTAGAGCAGGGGGAGAAGTCAGAATCATGTCTCTGGTGTCTGGGCCTAGGAAGACAAGGACAACCAGACACTTGAAGGGGTCTCTCACCCTACCAGGGATCCCAACAGGCCTGGCCAGCTCTGCCCCCCACTTCCTTAGTGCCCCTGAGGTAGAGTTGGGCCTAGCTTACCGAGCAGGGGAGGGAGATGATGGGCAGCTGTCAGTCTCCCTTTTGTATTCTTTGTCTTTCTTCTTCTTGTGTTTCTTGTGTTTCTTCTTCTTGTGTTTCTTTTCTTTCTTACTTTTCTTAGAGCTCTCTGTACTGCAAGAGAGAATATAAAGGGTCTAAGTGTGAAGGACTGGAAAGCAATGGGACTAGGGCAGGGTCCATACCACGGCACTGTGCACTGGGAATGTCTACATGTTGTGAGTTTATATTTGTAAATGAGCTTAATTTAGGCTTCTCATCCGCTCCACAAGGCTAAGCTTCCCTCTGGAAAGCTGCTAACCTGGGTGCCTCTTGGCGGGTGGCGGAGGAGCCAGCTTCTCACTATGCAGGCTTGTGTAGCCTGGAACTCACTATTTTACTTAAGTACAGAGTTGACACAAAAGTAACCAGACAGGCACACACTGCTAAATCCCAAGGCCTGGAAACCAGCTGGTGGGAACTCTCAGAGATCAGCCTGTCTGTCTACCAAGTGCTAGGATTAAAGAAAGGCAAGTGCCACTTCTCCTAGCCTCATACTTTAACTGCTCCACCTCCCATCAAACTGGCCTCCTGTCTGCAACCATCACCCTGCTGGGTCACCAGTGGCAGCTTCTGAAACTCCATCCCACTGTCAGGCTCCTGGGCTTCTGGATGGGTAGGCACATCCAGCCTGGAGGTGGAGGCCCAACAACTTAAGTAAAGCCAAAAGAGCTAAGGCAGTGCTTGGGTCCTTCAAAAAGACCCGGCATTCAACCTCCCAGTATGGTACCATTGGCCTAGACACCCAGTCTCTCCTGTGAATACACTCTTGGTGCAGTGTCTTCACGCCCACGCCTGGCATAGTTCACATAGGATGCCAGCAAGAGACTCATTGACGCACATGAGTAGGCAGAATAGGGACTCAGACTCAACTTACTCCAATTCGGCCTTGTCCTCAGCACGGGGCTTCTTTCTGGCAGCAGATGGGGCTGTGCTTGGGCCTTCGCTGTCCACGCGGTGGTGCTATTTGAGAAATTCAGCTGGGGGGAGGGACACCCAGGGAGTCCCGCCCCACGTCTCCCCAGACACCCCCAAGCCCAGGATCCTGAGCATTAGGGTTGACAGGGTTTACCGTGAACACTGACAGCCCAAGCTTGGCAGCCTCTTTGTCTTCCCGGGATAGTGCCACACGGCCTGCGGAGCCACTGCAGAAGACAGAGCATTGAGGACAGTTCTGGACCACCACCCAGTCCTGCCTGCTTCTCCCCAACCCGCCGCACCTGGCACTGCCCAGGCCCAGCAGCCGGTCCACGCCCTTCTCCTCAGGGTCGCCTCCTTCCCGTTTGCAGATCTCCACGAAGTCCTAAGGGAACGCGGGGTTGAGGGGAGTTGGGGGGCAGGAGGTTCTAGACCGGTACAGATAGATCCTCTCCCGCCCTGCGGACCCCCAATCCGCATCCCAGACTCACCTCCTTGCTCAGGCCGGTGGGCTGTTTCCTCACGTTCTTATAACCGCTGCGAGGATCGGGGGTGCACGTCAAGGGGGCATGCGCCCCTGTGGCCTTCCTCCCTGCCCTGCCCACATCTAGCCCCGCCCCGGAGCCACCCAGATCCCATCCCCGGAGCTGGCAGTCGCCCCGCAGCCCCGGCACTCACAGTGCGGCCAGCAGCGCCTCGCGCTCCGCCTCGCGCACAGCCGCCAGCTCTTCCTCACGGCTCGGGCCGGCACACGGCGCACGGTCCTTCGCGTACCAGGTGAGGTCGCGGCCCTTCTGCCAGCGGCCCACTGGCGCCATCAGCGAGTTGCCTAGGTAGTTCTCCCTCTGCTTGTCGGTCTTCACGTCCTCCCAGTTGAACTGGTCCTGCCCGCCACGCACGCCGCCGCGGCTGGAGCCGAACATGGCGTCGGAGACCCTGCACAATCTCCAGGACCCGCAGCCCCGAGCGCCGGACTCCCGCACCACCGGGCCTCCGGACGCTCGCCGTGACGTCACTCGCGCGCCTGCGCCGCTCACGAAGGTGTCCGCGCGCCTGCGCAGTGTGTGGCTCGGGCAGCCTCAGCCGAAGTCCCTCTTTGCATCCGGTGTTCAGTCCAAACTAGACCCACAGGCGTATCCTTTATCCCATTACCACATGCGCCTGCGCACTAGCACCTTGAAAAAAAAACGGCTGCTGTGCCACCTCACGTGTCACCCTTGTGTTAGGATCCTCGGTGGATTGGGATGCCGACAAACTTTGGTGACACCAGGAGGGCGCCGCAGGGCTTGTACTTGACGCCTTGCCTCCTGGAAAGCCAGGCGTGCTAACTCCAAAGGTCTAGGTCAGTGCTGAAACGCAGTCAAATAGTGGCAAAACTTCCCGGAACACTGAGGGGCGGATAAAGTCGCCAAAGAAACAGATCAACTCTTCTGTGCACTGGGTGGCAGATTGTGGCACGAAAGTGAGATAAAGGCCACAAAGTCCAAGCATCCCTAAACCACAGTGATCTGTATTCTGTGTAGGTGAGACTTTACTGACCTACGAAGTACGAAGAACAGAGCTAATTGCATTTTGTTCTGATTGGGCATGACCAAGAAGTCAAGAATAACTTAAGTTCTTTGAAGATAGGTTTAGCACTGTCATTTGGCCCTGAAAAGAATCATTAGTTGTACCTGGCAGCCAATGAATGATCGAGTCGGTATCTGGGCTAAAGCTTAAATGATGAGTGCAATTTTTCTGTATTATAGTCTCAGCCCTGTCTGTAATAGATGTGTGGCAAAACACACCCCCATTACCATGTTTAAATCTTCCACTAGAGTTGTTCTTGAAGGCTGGGCCTTTGACATAATGAGGTAGAGTCTCATAGATTAATGCCCATATGAAGAGAATCCTGGAGAACTCTCTTGCCTTCTGTCACTGGAGTATAAAAATGAGATATTCGCTGTCTAGAACCCAGGACAGATCCTTTGTCCAAACTCAACAGTGCTGGCATCCGGATGATTTTGGGGGTGGTGAGGTTCTTTTTGTGTTGGGGTTTGAATTAATGTTATGTGAGGATATAATGAATTTGACATGAAGATAGAAACATCTCATGTTGATATTTCTCAAAAAGGGAAATTGGAATGTCAACCAATGTGGCAAGGAACATAAGAATGCCTGGGACCTTCCTCAGCTTCTACAGAATAGGGTATGTTCTGTAGAATGATAGAATGATGTTCCTATACCTCAGATGTTTTTCTGAAGACAAACGTTGTTGTGATTCATATAACCTTGAACATGCTGGCCTCTGAAGCAGGCTCCTCTTGTTATCAAAGGAGGTGAGAAATAAAAAAACAAGCCTCGTCATGCAGATTGCACTCAAGTGCTGGGCTGCCTTAAGCCCCCTGGTTTCCAGTTTTTCCGGCGTAAATCAGGAGAGGCAACTTGGCCAACCTCTCCCAGTTTGTTTTTGAAATAGGGTTCACTATGTACCCCTGGCTGGCCTCGCAGAAATCCACCTGCCTATGCATCCCAAGTGCTGGGCTTAAAGGTGTACTTATGTGAACCACCACATCTCACCATAGTATTTTAGGGACCTATCTTGAGAGCAGCTGGATCACTCTTGTAAGAACTCTTCTGTCACTGGGGAAACTTCACATAATTCTACAAGACAAAACATGTATCAAATCTGCAACTTTGAGAATAAATTACTATTTATAAAGTACCCAGGCTGGTGAGATGGTTCAGTGGGTAGCTCTTGCTGCCAAGCCTGGTGAAGCAAGTTTTTTGTTTTGTTTTTTTGGTGGTGGTGGTGGTAGTGGTTTTTTTGAGACAATCTCTCTCTGTGAAACAGTCCTGGCTATCCTGGAACTCACTCTGTAGACCAGGCTGGCCTCAAACTCACAGAGATCTATCTACCTGCCTCTGCCTCCCAGGTGCTGGGATTAAAGGCCTGCACCACCACCGCCTGGCCTGAAGCAAGTTTGATCACCAGGACCCACATGTTGGAAAGAACCAACTCCTACAATTTGTCCTCTGACAACACACAGGCCACAGTGTGTATGCCACCCTGATAATTAAAGGACCCAGTCTGAGCTAGGCCTGATGGCAAGAGTCTGTAATCCAGGTCCCCAGGAGGCCAAATCAGGAAGGTTGGAAGTTCAAGGGCTGCCTAAGCTTACAAAGAGATTTGAAAGCTAGTCTGAGCAATTTAGTAAGTCCCTGCCTTAACATAAGAGAGAAATGGAGCCAGGTGGTGATGGCGCATGCCTTTAATCCCAACACTCGGAAGGCAGAGGCAGGCGGATCTCTAAGTTCAAGGCCAGCCTGGTCTACAGAGTTCCAAAACAGCCAGGATTGTTAATAGAGAAATCTTGTCTTTGAAAACCAAAAAACAAAATAAATAAATAAGAGAGCGGGAGAGACAGAGAGACAGATGGACAGACAGTTATATCTTAATGATAGGTCTTGTCATCCATCCCTAGTCTGAAAAATTACCCAAGCTGGCACTCTCTGGCATCCAAAATAGACGAAAACAGCCCCACTTTTGTTTATGTCTTTGTTCTGAACACAGGCCAAGTATCCACCAACAGCTTGTGAGGCACCTGGTATAAGCCCTGAGTTTATGTCCTGGCTTTGTTAGACACAGCTGGAACCATATCCCTCAGAACAAGATCACACTAGAGATGGATGTATGGCCTGGATGGACCCAAGGGGAGCTGTACAATAAGGGAGCAGCAGTCATGTGGTCCACAGTGAAAGAGGAGTAAACCAGCCATCTCCAGGGAAGATCTCCAGAAAGCAAGATAGCAGCTTCTGGGACCCTCACCATTGACCTGGTATGCTAAGGACGTAGAAAGCTGTGCTGCACTGTCTGACCAGTTTGCTTACTAGGTGAAGCTCAGGGGAGCATGGCTATGGGGCTGGGAGGATGTGGGACACGTGTCCAGACCAGTTCCAAGCCTGTGCAGCCCTGAGGAGCCGCCTATTCCAGGGAGAACCAGAATCTGCAGCAACGGACTACAGCCGTGAAGGGTTGGATGCTCACAGGCCTGCCTTTGAAGTTAGGTACTATGTGCACTCTTGCATCTGGAGGAAGCCAATGGGATCTCATCAACATCAAGATGTACAAAGGTTTAGGCAGCTGTTTATTGGCTTTGGTTTGTGTGGCCACTTATTCTGCAGACTGGAGTAGACTAGGAGTTCAAGACACAGCCTGGCCAGGTGATGGTGCACACCTTTAATCCAGGAGGCAGGGGCAGGTGGATCTGAGTTCAAGGTCAGCTTGGTCTACAGCGTGAGTTCCAGGACAGCCAGGGCTACACAGAGAAACTGTCTCAAAATCAAACAAAAAAGACACACAGCTTGGCCACACTCCTGGGTCCCCAAGGGCAGGAAAGTGTTTGACCCTGAGTAGCCTTTTAGGGAAGGACCAATAAAGGGAGGCGGTGAGAAAGATCCCTGCAGGCTCTGTGTGATCTAGGAATTTAACTTGGAGGTTCCTAGGGGTATGCAGGTAGAGCTGTTAGTTGCTGGGTGCTTCTTGCCCACTGTCCACCTACTTCACAACTAACCTTGTAGCAGTGTTTAAAACCCAGAGGTTTGAAGCTGAGTGTGACAGCATATCCCTTTAATCCCAGTACTCAGGAGGAAGAGTCAGGACTGGTCTACCTAGTGAGTTATAGACCAACCAGGGTAAGACTTTGTCTTAAAAAACAAAACCCACGCCGGGCGGTGGTGGCACAAGCCTTTAATTCCAGCACTCAGGAGGCAGAGCCAGGCGGATCTCTGTGAGTTCGAGGCCAGCCTGGGCTACCAAGTGAGTTCCAGGAAAGGCGCAAAGCTACACAGAGAAACCGTCTCGAAAAACCAAAAAAAAAAAAAAAAAAAACCCAAATAGCCAGGCGGTGTGGCACAAGCCTTTAATTCCAGCACTTGGGAGGCAGGGCAGGAGGATCTTTGTGAGTTCAAAGACATCCTCACCTGCAGAGCGTTCCAGGAAAGGCTCCAAAGCTACACACAGAAACCCTGTCTCAAAAAAACAAGAAAAGCCCAAACCAAACCAAACCAACAAATCAACAAAACCCCACAGGTTTGACCTAAATGGGCCCTAAACCCTCTGATCTGTTTTAACTCCAGAGTCTTTCAATCTGACTTTGATTGAACTGGCACATACTTTCCAGAAATGACGGGTTTCAGGGCTGGACTTCCACATAAAGACAATGACAGGAGGCCATGGTTTCAAGAATGTAGTTTACAGGCAGATGCCTCTCCATCCTTACAAAATGTCTCTGGGTGACTCCCTGACAAGAGTTACTTCTTGGTCTTGGTCCAAAACCGTTTGTATCGTTCAGTGTCAAAATTGTCAATCATCTCTGGCTCTTCCTCCCTCTTCTGCAAGAGCTGAGCCTCACGTTTTCGGAATCGGGCCCGGCGCTCTTCTGGAGATAGGGAATCCAGGTCTAGGGGCATCTGCATGGAGAGAAGTGAAGGTATGTACATGCCACTGGGGAGAGTCCGGAGAGTGGGTGGGAAGACGCCTGGACCTCTTTTACCTGTGCCTTCTATCCTGTGCTGGCCTGCTGGTTACACATTTGGTTGGCCTTGCTTTCCCTTCAAAACTGTAGTTTGAAAACGAAAGTTTTGAAAGGAAATGTTTTTCTACTCCCTTTCCCTAGACTTAGTGTATGTTTGTTTAAGACAAAGTTTTAATTAGTCTAAGAAAGCCTTGAACTCACAATAATCATCCTCAGACTCCAATGTGCTACGATTATAGATGTGTACCATCATGTCTGGTTTGATGTGGTCCTTAAACCAAAGGCTTTGTGTTGTGGAATATTAATTGAAGTTGTGTTACATTTGTTCATGATATGGAACATTTGTTTAATGATGCAAAGATGTGTTGCATTCTTTTATGTTGCATTTGTTGAACTCTGTGAAGCTGGGTCACTGTGCCTTGTCTAAGACACCTGATGGTCTAATAAAGAACTGAATGGTCAATAACTAGGCAGGAGAAAGGCTAAGTGAGGCTGGCAGGCAGAGAGAAAAATAGGAGAAATCTGGGAAGAGATCTAGGAGTGAAGGGAAGGAGAAGGAGAGGATGCCAGGGGCCAGCCACCCAGCTACACAGCCAGACACAGAGTAAGAAGTAAAGAAAGGTATACAGAATAGAGAAGGATAAAAAGCCCAAAGGCAAAAGGTAGACAGGATAATTTAAAAGAAGAAAAGCTGGTTAGAAATAAGCCAAGCTAAGGCCAGGCATTCATAAGTAATAAGAAGCCTCCATGTATCTATTTAGGAGCTGGGTGGCAGGCCCCCAAAAAGCAAAGAGTAAAGAATAAAAAAACCAACAACAGCTTTGTACCTCTTAGAAAAGCACTCTACCAACTAGAACACACTCCAGTCCATATTTGGCGGTTTTTGTTGTTGTTGTTTTCTATTTTTTTTAAATATAATTTATTTATTTTTATTTTATTTGCATTGGTGTTTTGCTGCATGTATATAGACTGTGTGAGGGTGTCAGATCTTGGAGTTATAGACATTTGTGAGCTGCCATGTAGGTGCTGGGACTTGAACTCAGGCCCTCTGGGAGAGCAGTCAGTGCCCTTAACCACTGAGCAATCTCTCCAGTCCCTTGTTGTTTTTAAACAGACTTGTTAAGCCTGGTGCGGTAACACAGGCTTATAATCTCAACACTTAAAGAGGCAGGAAGATTAGGAGGTCAAGGTGATCCTCAGTATGTAAGATCAAAGCCAGCCTGGTTTTCATAAGACCCTGTACCAATAAAACAAAAACAAAACCCAAAAAAGAAATAACTAATTTATTTGTTCTAATTTTGGTGATTGGAGCTTTTGGTGTAAATTCCTCCAACAACCTGTTCCCCTCCTCCTCCACTGTAGTATAGTGACTTTAGCTACATATGAAACTCCAGCCCCAAGTTTTGGCACTGAGGCCCAACACTATGGCTCAGCAGGTACCTATTGAAGGAAGCTTACCGCTAGCATGCGTCGTGGCTCCCGGTATCGGATATGGATAGTGGAACCGTCCTGCTTGACCAACAGCACAGGGTAGAGGCGAGCATAGGCCTGGCGGCGCAGGCGAGTGAGTGAAGCTCTGCTGCTGTCAGCTCTCCAAGAGGATGTGTGGAGGTGGCAGGGTGCAGGAGAGGCTGCCCTCACAGCACAGTGCCTCAGCACGCTACAGACAGACATGCAAACACTGGTTGGTGGACAGGGGTGAGCCAGAGGGCACCAAGTGCCAAGCCTGCCAGCCACTGTCAGGGTATGACCGAGAACTGCCCAGCAACCAGACACTAACAAAGATTGATGAGTCACATTTAGGGACCTCTGTTGAGCTGTTAGCATAGTCAAAGCAGTCTATAGTGGGTGACTCAGGGTACAGCAAGCCTTCCAGCACTGAGGACAGGGGATAACAACTCCTTCCTGGAGAGGACAGGGTGTCTTAGGATGTACCTTAGGGGACTAGAATTCCATGCTTACCCAAGCAGGCTGCCCAAAGGCATTGTTTTTCCTTCGAGCTCTGATGGCACGAGAAAACAGTCACTGGCCCAGATGTAGGACCTGCTAGGCAAGGGGAAAAAAAAAATGTGATTTTTCTACTTGATTATTGTCCTAAAATCCTGGCCTGGAGCTAAGTCAGACGCAGGTGCATCTCTAGCAGCATATCCAGTTGTTTCTTGGTATTCATGGGGAATTGGTTCCCAGAGTCCCATATAGATAATCAAATTGACAGACTGTCAGCTTTTTGCTGTACAATGGCATAGTATTTGCATTTGATCTGTGCACAGGTTCCCATGTGCCTTAAATCACTTAGAACACCTAAAAGAATACAAAGCCAGCTATGGAAAGTGCATGTCTGTATTTCCAACACTCTGGAGGCAGAGGCAGGTGGATCAGGAGTTCAAGGTTATCCTGTTACACAGGGAATTAAAAGTCAGGCTGTGTTGTTGCTTGAGACCCTGTGTCAAAAAACTGAAGCAAACAACCTGAGATTATACAAAAGCCATATAACAGTTATTAAACGATTTTGTTTACAAAACAAAACAAAAAACCCTATGTTCAATGTAGACTAAAAAAAAAAAGTTATCTTCAATCTGTGGTTTGAATTCTCGGTTGCAGAAGACCAGGTGTGAGATCACTGTCACTTGCCAGTCTATCATACTAGCCCTCTGGCCTCGAATTAGAATAGCTCGTGGAGGCATTTTACAAAAGCAGTTAGTTACCAGGGTCCTACCCTCCCAAGACTTCAGCAGGACTGAGGCCCACCCATTCCTGAAGTTTATGGAGTCAGAACCTCCCCCTGTGCGGGAGTGTGTGTTTGTGTTGCTTGGTTCACTTTCTTTTTAACATCGTTTTAGTTTTCATAACAATACCGCGGGGTTACAGACGGGAAAAGAAGCTAGGGCTCCTTTCTCCAATGCCACAAACTCCCAGAGTGGTCTAAGCAGGCGAAAATCGAGTGTCCTACACTCAGCAACATTAAACCAATGGGAGAGTGCGTAGATTGGGAGGGTCCCACCTCGGGTAGGGAACCGAAAGGAGGGGCCCGCTGCCTCTCGAAAGAGAGGTACGATCCCGCTGATCGGTGTCCCAAGTCCGGGACCTCCTCTTCTCCAGCCACGACGAGGCCCGGATTAATCTGTGGAAGAGCCCCCTCCCATTCGCCCCACACGACGGCGCAACTCGCCCTGCCTTTCACTCCTCAGTGGTGGGGCCGGTAGGGGCCGGCGCTCAAGAGACTCCAACCTGCGGCCCCCACCTTAGCGTTGCAGGGACCTCGTAGACCGCCGTGCAGAACTTTACTCAGTAGGTGGTAAACTGAGGCCGGGCCACGTGGGGCCACGCAGGAACCCGTCTCCGGAGACGACGATCCTCCGCCGTGACCCAGGTCTCCCGTAAGCGCCCCGTCGCGCGGCGATGACGTCACGCAACGCCGGGCTGTGGTCCTCCGTTAAGGGCGGGGTAAGACCAGGTGGGCGTGGTTAAGGCTGACCGAAGCCTAGTTAGTTGTCCAGGTTCACCAAATGAGACTGTTGCTGCGGTGGCCAAGCCTGAGTAGGCAAGGCCAGTGCACTACCCTGGCCAGACCCAGTGTGGGCGGGAGGCGGTGGGGACTCTGGGACTTTCCGGTCCGGGCTGCAGGGCGCTGTGCAGTGAGTGGATGGAAGCAGGACAGCCTTGCTACGGGCCCCTGTGCGTCCTTGGTATCTGTGGGAGCCCGTCTTCAGGTTCCTCGTGGCTTTACTGAACAGATCTGCATAGAGAGGATGATTAGGACCACGGGCCTGAGTGCAGGTGTCTGAGATGGTCTGCACTTGGCTGTGCTGGGCGGGGGGTTGGGGGGTGTCTTTTGTCCTATCCCTTGGCGTTTCTATAAATACCCTAGCGCACAGACAGTCAGGGCCTGTTGGAATAGGTTCCAGGCCCTCTCGAGGCTGCCCTGTATTTTCTGTTTATCTCCCAATCTAAATCCTTCTATCTAATATTTCCTGCTGCTCGCACTCAAGAAAGCTCTGGGGAACTGTGGGGTTAGTGGGTAAACGCCCCGCAGGTATCTAAGTTTCCATGCCTGGTTGTTTCCAGGTTTGTTCTGGATGCGACACGGCTTGTCTGGGGGCTCGTGTTGGGCCCAGGTCTGGAAGACAGACATCCAAACTCCAAGTCGGGATGGCCAAACAGCCAACGTGAAGGAGCTAGAGTCACCCGCGAGGAGTATGATTAGAGAACAATTGGTTCTCCAGAGTCAAACTACACGACTTCCAAGCATCCGACTGCTATCTCCCGAGTAGCCCAACGCTAAGGGGTCTTGAAGTACTCCACCGTGTTGAACTTGTTGCAACGGTTATTGTGAGCCCGGGAGGGGGGCTGCTGTGCTGGCTGCAGGACTCTCTGCCGGGTTTCTCAGGAGGACTGCAGAAGGTTGTCTATTTGACTTCTTTTGCTGCCTTTAGGCTTTTGCCACATTGGGTCCCTTGGCGTCATTGTGCCAGAACGTTTTCCTTCCCCTTTCCTGTTTTTTCCTGAGTTACTTATCTCTTATCATCCATCTTAGGTTGCACTGTCTCCTCCCAGGGCTGTCCTGCAATGGGAAGTCGTGGTGTGGTTTGTTTTGTTTTGCAGCCTGGCAGCCAGCCTCCAGAGCTAATCGCATATGCTGACCTGCAAGTGTCTGTCGTTATCAGGCTCTAGAAAGCATGGACCACAGAGCTGCCCTCACTGCCAACCCATGCAGCTGTAAACTGGTGCCTGTAGGACCCCCAACAGGAAGCTCCAATCTCCTTACAAAGGCCAGGTGATCTTCCATCAGCCAACGAGCCCTGGCAATGGCCTAGGAGCCACATAGGCATTGTCTGAGAAAAGGGTTGTTAAGCTTTTCTGCTTCTCCTCTAGTCAGCTGTCCCCCAGTAGCCCTTTTGCTATATGGTCATGCTGTCAGAACAGCTGACAAGGACTCCTCTGGGTGCTGCTGAAAGTGTCTGATTTTATGGACCAGTGAGGTCCAGCAGAGTGTACTAAGTGTTGGGATAATCTTTTTGTACACCATGTGAAGATGTGTCCTTCCTCACTTGCCTAAGGCATCTTCTGATTGGTTTAATAAAGAGCCAACCAGCCAATAGCTAGTCAGGAGAGGATAGGCGGGACTTACGGGGAGAGATAGGAACTGTGAGAAAGAATCTGAGGCATGGGAGATTAGCAGACATGGAGAAAGTCAGATTTACAGTATTGACATGCCATGTGGCAAAACATAGATTAATATAAACAGGTTAATTTAATGTTTTGTTTTGTTTTGTTTCTCTGTGTAGCTTTGTGCCTTTCCTGGAACTCATTCTGTAGCCCAGGCTGGCCTCTGCCTCCTGTGTGTTGGGATTAAAGGTATGAGCCACCAGGTCCAGCATAGAAGGCCATTAAAAAAAAAAAAAGTTTATTTATTTATTATGTATTCAGTGTTCTGCCTGCATGTGTCCCTGCACTCCACAAGAGGGCACCAGGTCCTACTATAGATGGTTGTGAACCACCATGTGGGTGCTGGGAATTGAACTCAGGTCCTCTGGAAGAGCAGCCAGTGCTCTTAACCACTGAGCCATCTCTCCAGCCCCCCTAAGGCCATTTTTTTAACTCACAACTTTAAACCAGACAAAGAGGAGGAAGAGGAGGGGGAAAGTCCTCTGTTCTTCATTGTTTCCTTTGTGCTGAACTTCACCTATCATGGCCACATCACAGTCCACTTTTCAAAAGAACCAGCCAAGAAGTAGCAAGATTTCTCTTTATGAGCAAGACTTGGTGGCTCACACCTATAGTCCCAGCACTCAAGAACCTGAGGCAGGAATATTGTCAGGAGGGCAAGACTAAAATAGGCTATATAGTGAGTTCTAGTCTAGCTTGGTCTATAGCAAGTTCCAGAACAGCTAAGGCTACATAGAGAGAACCTGTCTGAAGAAAAACAAAACAAAACAATAAAATCCCAAATAAATAAATAAAAATTAAGGAGCCAAGAATATTCCTCAAAGTGATATAGATGCCTGCTGCCAGGCTTGACTACCTGATTTCGATCCCAGAAACCTGTGTGATAGAAGGAGAGAGCTCACTGCTGCAGATATCCTCTGAAATCCACACGTGCATCATGTTACATGGGCACCCCGCCCCCAGACACAGAGAATAAATAAATACAATGTAATCTAAAAATAAAAACCAAAACCTTTTTCTTCATGGACTAGTGTCCTTCCACATTGGCAATTAACAGATTGCCTCTTCGCAGCTGTGATTTTGCCTCTAACTTGAACATCTTGCCCACAGTAGACATGACCTGTCCCCACATTGTTGCTGGATCCTAACCGCTCCCTAGGGGGCGGGGGATGAGAAGGTGTGGCTTCAACAAATGCACAGTCACCAGGAGTCAGTTGAAGGCAAATAACAAACTCGTTTATTCAGTAATGGGGAGGTCTTATATACCCTCCTCCCAGCACCCAAGTTGTGTCCCAATCTGGTGGCATTTTGTGGTCATCCCTCATTGGCTGGGCACAATCAGGAACTCTGACAGTGCCTGTTGCTAGGCCCTCAGGCAGACTCCAGGTTGGCTCATAGGAAGTAAATTGTGTGCATGCCTTGGCAACTGGTTTGAGCCAATTTCTTCAATCCTATGGACCTGTTGTATTATACCCACACTAGTACCCGAGCTTCCATGCTGGTCAACTGCAATTTCAAAACCTGCCCCAGGCTGATCCAGCCTACTGGAGTGTTGTGTGCTTCCAGGGAGACCACAAGCAAGCAAGCGACAGGAATGCAGTATATTGAGAGAGGAAGTCAGAATGTGGAGTTTATACGAGGATTGATAATGTGGCATGGGCCTGGGTCACTTCTTTTCCATGCTTTGGACGAAACCTGAATACCTTTATCAGTGCCTGGGAATATTTACGGCCTTGAGGTAGTACCATACAGGACCTGAAGCTTCAGTGATTCTGTCTCAAAGGATAAAATAGAGGAGATTGATAGAGGAGACACACTTGATACTGATCTGTGACTTACATAAAAATACACATGGGTGTGTGAGAATACACTCACTCTGAGAGAGACATTAGGGAAGGAGAAGGTGAATATCTGTTTCCAAATAAGTATCCTACAGAAAGGTAAATGAATGATAGGCAAGATCACCACAATGGGTCTACTGGTTTCAAGAAAATGTTCATGCAACCAAGGCCCCTGTTGGTGGGTAGGAAAACTGAAGCAGGGGCCTTCCACCAAGCAAAATTAGTACCCAGGAAGGGCACACTTGTAAAGGCAGCATCCTGCCCTCATGCCTCATTTCCACAAGGGACACACAAGGTTCTTTTGTTGTTGTTGTTTTGTTTTTTTTTAATTCTTTTTTTTTTTCAGAGTTGAGGACCGAACCCAGGGCCTTGCACTTGCTAGGCAAGTGCTCTACTGCTGAGCTAATTCCCCAACCCCCACAAGGTTCTTTTTGTTTGAGAGGCTGATAAGGACTAAAACAGGAACTCCAAGTTGCAAGATGTGCCAGGATAAGGACCTCTTCTTAGGGACTCTAGTGTGAAAATTGGCTTCTCCTCCTGTCTTTAAACCAGTGGTCAGTTACAACGAGGGTTGCTGTATTGGCTGGTTTTGTGTGTCGACTTGACACAAGCTAGAGTCATCAAAGAGGAAGGAGCCTCAGTTGAGGAAATGCCTCCATGAGATCCAGCTGTAAGGCATTTTCTCAATTAGTGATCAGTGAGAGAGGGCCGAGCCCATACTAGGTGGTGCCATCCCTGTGCTGGTGGTCCTGGGTTCTTTTAGTAAGCAGGCTGAGCAAGCCATGAGGAACAAGCGTGTAAGCAGCACCACCACCACCCCCATCTCACCCTATGATCTCTGCCTCAGCTCTTGCCTCCAGGTTCTGGCCCTGTTTTGACTTCCTGTCTTGAGTTCCTTCATTGATGGACAACAATGTGGAAGTGTGAGCCAAATAAACCCTTTCTAACCCATCCATCTTTTGGTCATGTTGTTTCGTCATAATAATACTGACCCTACCTAAGACATTGTTCAAGAGTCCAAGTCCAAATTCTCTCCCTAGATTAAAGGCTCCTGTAAACAAGTTACATACCTCCAAGATACAACGGTGAGGTAGGCCCAAGTTAAACGTTTCCACACCAGAACGGAAGAATGCTTTGTCCCAAGGACAGCCGAGGTGCATCAGGTGCTAAATCCTCTGGATGTGGCACCATGTGTACACCAGGGTGGGAGTAGCCCTAGGCTACCCTCCTCACACAGTGTGACCAGTTGCAGTCCATGTGGGGCCATGGCTGGTGTCACACACATTAATGTTGGCCCTGCTTTTCTGGGATCTTAGCTGCGCCCCTACTCTGCGGCTTTGATGCCATCTAGGGGTTCAGGAACAGGTTAACTTTCTCTGACAATCAAAGAACTAAAAGGCAGGGGTGAGGCCTGGAGAAATGACTTAGTTGTTAAGAGCACTGCCTGCCAGAGGAACCAGGTTCAGTTCCTGGCACCCACATGGTGGCTCACTACTATTTATAACTCCAGTCCCAGGGCATCCGAGGGCACCGGGCACACACATGCAGGCAGAACACTCATACACTTAAATAATTTTAAAAAGAAAAGGCCGGAAAGATGTGTTACTGGAAATATCGAGTCTTAGGAGAGCCATCATACGGTACCTGGGAAATCAGTGTACCCTGTTGAAGTTCTTATTAATAAAAGAAGCTGAGAACTAACACAAACAGAGGCTCAAAGACAAAGGATGGCCTAAACAGAAGCTCAAGGACAATTCGTTAGTTTCGAAGGAATTCCCAGGGCAGGCAAGGTGTAGCTTTCAGTGTCCTAGTGAATGAAAATGATGACATGACTGTTCCAAGGTATGGTTGAGGGGAAGAGTTTTATTGTAGATAGAGGAAGAGTACAGCCAGAGGCATCTGGAAGATTCCAGAGCAGGGGGGAAGGAAGACTGAACATGTTCAGCAGACTGAAGTGGGCCATGAGAAGGGCATGGTGGGGGTGAGGTGGAGTGGTAAGAGGGAAAGACACTAAAAAGGGACAAGAGAGAGGACCAAGAGAGATGGTTGAGGAGATGGTTTTTACTGTATATATGAGGGGGAGTACAGCCAGAGGCATCTGGAAGGGGCCAGAGCAGGGAGAGGAGTAGTAGGCTAGTCATGATCAGTAGACTGAACCGGGCCATGAGAAGGGCGTGGTGGGGGTGGGGTGGGGAGTAAGAGAAAACAGAGGGACAAGAGAGAGGACCAGGAGCCAAGAGCAGAGGACCAAGAGAGTGCATGGCCAAAATGGCAGGTTTTTATAGGACAGAGAACTGGGGAAGGGAAGGGAAGCCTCTGGGCTGGAGAGGTTTAGGGTAGGGGGCAGGGGTGAGGAGCAGGCAGAAGCCAGGATGCCAACCATTGGGGACTCTGTAACAGGTACTTGGGATGCTGAGACAGCATGAGGATAGCATGCACTTTGTATGCTCATAGGCACCACAGTTAGCCATTTGTCCTGAGTTTCTTTGGGACCTGAGACCAGGGAGGAAGGAGAGTGTCCAAGAGTCATGCTACTTGGGGTAAGGCAGCTTGGAGGGCAGCCACCTGGCAGCAAGCAGCCACATGATGGAAAGTGATGCCGAGCCTTGGTCTCCACTGTCCTGATGTACACCTCTTGGTGGGCCTTTTACCCATGTTTATCTCTGTTCTTTCCTTGCCCAGACTTAGAAATTTCCTTCTCTTTCCAAATCCCTTAGAATTCCTCTTATCCTTCAGTCTAGGAGAAACCAATTAAAAACAACCAAGCCAGGGCTTGAACGCCCTTCAGAACCACTTCTGCAGTGTGCCATCCCATCCAGGCTTCCATAAGGCCCCAGGGCACCAACCATCTCAAGGCAGCCTTGTTCTTTACAGTGAGGGGGCAAGAGCGAGTCCATTCCACCCTCCTAGAGAATATTCCCTCCCTCTCTTCCTCCTTCCCTCCTACCTGCCTGCCCCCACTCCCTTCCTTTCCTCTGTGTACAGTTTTTTTGTTTTGTTTTGTTTTGGTTTGGTTTGGATTTTTGAATAAAAATTAGGGCCATGACCTTAATCCCAACATTTGGGAGGCAAAACCAGGTGAATCTTTATGAGCTGGAGGCCAGCTTGGTCTACAGAACGAGTTCCAGGACAGCCAGGGCTACACAGAGAAACCCTGTCTTGAAAAAACAAAAAATAAAACAAAACAAAAAAGTAAAATTAGACAAAAATGTTTATTATAAAGTCAGCGCATTTTTACTTAAGGATTTCACTTGCAATTCTTTCACTGTGTTGGGAACAGGCAAAAGCACCTTGCCCTAAGTACTGCTGTTGTGACTTCAGATTCCATTTTACTAGCAGGATGAAACAAAGCTCAAGTTCCCAAGCTCTGGGGGAGCCAGGGACTTTCCAATAACTGACCCACTCCTCCTTAAACAATAGAAGCAGTCTGTTATATATCTTTAGTTCTCTAGAAACAAGGTGGCTGTTCCTAACAACAAAAAGAACAACTGAATCTGATTAGTTGAACTGGAAAGCTTGCATTCTATGTTTCATGACAATGATGAAACACTTAAGGAAAGCCTCTAATCTTTAAATCCTGATTGGAGAAAATTGTAACTGTAACTTAGTACAGGTGTTTGTGGTTTTTGTGACTTATAAACCCAACTTCAGCCCAGGGTGGTGGTGGCACAAGCCTTTAATCTCATTACTCGGGAGGCAAAGACAGGCGGATATCTGTAAGTTCGAGGCCAGCCTGGGCTACAGAGCGAGTTTCAGAACAGGCTCCAAAGCTACACAGCGAAACTCTGTCTCAAAAAACAAAAAACCCACTTCAGTCCCTGCTCTGGGCTGCCAGGAGAAGCAAGGCTCCGGAGTCCTTGTCCTACAGCCCTGATCGATCATCAACCCTGTTCACGTGGTGGTTTATTAAAGACTTGGCTGTTTCATGAGCCCATAAGTGATGTCTCTCTCCTTCCTCGTGGTGCCCAGCAGACATGGTGTTAGAAACTGTCCCTCTAGATCACCTTCTTACTCAAAGCTCAGGATTTCTCTCCAAAACAGCTTTTTATGAGGGAATTGATATTTAATTCAGCTGTGCTGCCCACGTTACCACAATTCTTTAAGTTTTGTGTGGCCTTGAACTCACTATGTAGACCGAGCTGGTCTTGAATGCCCAAAGGTCAGCTTGCCTCTGCCTCCCAGGGCTGGAATTAAAGATGTGTACTACCACACCGTCTTATTTTGTCTCTGCTTGAATTAAGGACACTTACCAACTTCAGTGTTCTCCATCTGAGATCTTTGGCATCCAATTTCTTAAAATTCTTTATTTATATTTGGTTTTCAAGACAGGGTATCTCTCTGACTGTCCTGGAACTCACTCTGTAGACCAGGATGGCCTCAAACTCAGAGATCTGAGTGCTTCTGTACCACCACCGCCTGGCGAAATAATTTAATAAACATTTATTTTGGCAAGGTACAATGGTGCACACCTATCTATCTATCTATCTAGATGTTTATTTTGGTTCTTTCCAGATAGGGTTTCTCTGTGTAGCCCTGGCTGTCCTGGAACTCGCTTTGTAGACCAGGCTAGCTTGGAACTCACTGACATCCTCCTGCCTCTGCCTCCAAAGTGCTGGGATTAAAGTCATGTGCCACCACCGCGTGGTGGCGCACACCTTTTTAATCCTACCGTTTGGTTTGGTAGAGGTGTTTCAGGACTACATAGTAAGACCCTATTATGTGTATGTGCTTGAGCCTGAGTGAGTGCAGATGAGATCGTGTAACGTGACTGCTGGGAACTGAACTGAATCTGGTCACTCAGGAAGAACAGCCTCTTGAAATGATTATGCTGTAACGGGTAACCGGCTAACGCGAAGACGGACTAAATGGAGACTCGTTGATTTTTTTTTTATTATTATTTTTAAATTTTATGTGCATTGGCGTTTGCCTGAATGTATGTTTGTGTGAGGATGTCAAGTCCCCTAGAACTCGAGCTACAGACAGTTGTGAGCCGCTACGTGGGTGCTGGGAATTTAACCCGGGTCCTTTGGAAAAAGTGTCATTGCTCTTAACCGCTGAGACATCTCTCCAGCCCTTCCATGCTGATTTTTGCCCCGCTCCTCTCTGGGGTAGGCGGGGTCTGAGCCTAGGAAAAAAAAAAAAAAAGAAAGGCTAATGTGGAATGAGGCGGGGCCTGAGGACACAAGGTCGATGGGCGAAATGGGCGTGGTCTGCGGGGAGGACCGTGCAATACGCCTGCGTAGCAGTGCTGTCCTTTCCCCCCCCCTCCCGTAGGCCCTCGCAGACCGACGCGGTGCTGTGACGTAGTCTTGCGACCGTGATACGGAGTGGGCGGGGCCGGAGAGGGTGACGTACTGTCGGCGGGCAGAGGTGGGAAGTGGTCGGCGCTGGCGATTTTGCGCACTCCGTGTGCGCAGCCGTGCGACTCTCCGGTCTGCCCTAGTGGGCCGGCGCACCGCTGTGACGTAGTCGTGCGGGCGGTCCCTGATGCTGCGGCGCCCGCTGGTCGGGCTGGCAGTGGCCGCCCTAGGTCGCGCCCCTGCGGACGGTGAGTGCGCTGTGCTGCTGATGGCTGGCTGCCCCAGGAAGGAGCGGGATCTGCGGCAGCGTGCTTCCCTTGCGCGCCGCCTCCAGTGACCCCTGTTCTTGTGGCGACGCCTGGTGAACGTGTTTTCCGGGTCCCCAGAACGACAGGGATAGGCACGCGGAGTCCCAGCTGCCAGCAAACCCGCGCAGCCTGTGCCTAGCCGGCGCTCTTCCTCGGCGCCCTGCCCACCAGGCATCCTGGGCAGGCTCAAACACCTGCTTCACCTTTCCGCCGTTGCCGGTGCTGGACTTCGGTGTCTGCAGGCCCTCCTGACGCCTGGGTGTGAATATTGGGATTCGGCTTGTCCCGGGTCGGGGTTTTTGAAGCCACCTTTGGGCTTAGTATTCCCAGGCATCATTTTATC